TATTTCATTAAGTACATACTCTCAGTTTTACCCCGGGTTTCGTCCGGTGATATCTCTCATATCATTTGTTCATATAACGCGCATTGCCTGCACATAAACCCCACAGACTCTAGAATATATCAAATGCACCAAGAAACAGGCTAATACCCCGCAAGTACATACTGATCACTATCTTAATTGTATAGCACGCGCATAATCACCTCATTAGACTTTCACTTTCTAACACGTGCGCGGCGCGGCGCACTTTTTTTTCTAACTTTCATTCAAGCGCGCACGCGTCATCGCCTCGGCGCGCACGGCGCAACACAGCAGGAATAGATGATGGAAGGCGCGCGAAGAAGACAAGACGGGCGCGCACCCCGCAGAAAATCAGTAAAGTCCATTGCATTACCTTGATCTCGTCGCGCGCTTGTCATTTACTTACATACTATTCATTTTAATTTCTTAAGCCCAGTGAATCAGATAAGGACATGGACATGGACAAGGCAACACAAGATATATTGTACAGGCGCATTGGCGCTCAGAAGGAGTACACAGGCGCATTGGCGCCTAGGAGACAAGAAAAACAAAAGAGAGTTGCATCTACTTAAGGGAGTCATTGATCTGCCTCTCCAATTCAGCCCACGCGTTGGACATGGCGAAAAACTTGTTGGAATAGTTGAGGAGATCCGCCTGTTGGGCGCGCGCATACTGGCGCATCTGGAGAGTGGAAGTGCGCAAGTGCACATTTTCCTCCTTCAAACACGCGGATTCCGCGCGTGCCTCTTTCAACTCCACCGCTGGATCCTTGAACTTGTCCTTTCCCTTAGGCGCAGAACCAGATGCCAAAGGACCAACAGCGCGCACAGGAATATCACATGAGGCGCACACGACCTTCTCCTCCACAGAGCGCTCTCCAACAATCTCCACATCCATCCCCGACTCCTCGGATTCTTCTTCATCCTCAACCGCAATAGAGGAAGTGGTTTCCTTTGCAGACTCTGCGATAGGGCGCTTGGGCATCGGTTTGCGCGGGTGCGCCTTAGGTGCATCAGTAAGGTTGCGCTTAGCTAATCCACAGCAGTCAGTGGCGCGCGCCAATAATAAGACAAGAGGCGCGACTTACAGAAAGTGCAAGCGCGCTTGGACACATCGCAAGGAGGGCACCGGCGACCAGGCACACCTCCACAGTCAATGTCCTTGGCAATGCAGGCGCCACAGCGCCGTGCCTTGTTCACAGACATGCGCCCGGCGCGCAGCTAGCGCAACCAAACATGTTAATAGAGTGGCGCGCCAACAGGAAACAGAAGGCGCACCTTCTTGCTGGCATCAGTACCAGACGCGTCAGTGGCGCGCGCCTCGATTTCGGACGCGCCAGTGGCGCGCGCAGCTTGCATGGGAGGCGTCTGAGGAACTGACGCAATCGCCTTCGCCTTCACCTTCCAATCCTTCACGACCGCCTCAATCTCCTTACAACTCTTGCGCCCCTGCTTTAACAACTCCGCGCTTTTGTCATCCATCTCCAGTGCCACCGCCAACACACCCGCGCGCGTAGAACAACCGTTCAGAGTAGCCTAGGAGTGTCAGTCCACAACCAAGACCAATACATGTAAGTGCACTCACCAGTACTGAATACCACTCGCGCAACCACATCTCTTGATCCTCGAGGAGTTCCAGCTTGAGTTCAGGCGCGGACATCACGCATCCTTCCAGGGAGACTAGGATGGAGGCCCAAGCAGTGAAGAGGCGGTCGGTATCAGATTCCGCGCTAGCGTCGCCCATAGGCGCGTCCTCAGGAAACCCTTGCGCCACTGGAACAGGCTCAGGGGAAGGAGTAGAGTTCAACATAGCAACAGTGAAAGTAGGCATGGTGAAAGATTGATAACAAAGAAGTCAAGAGATCGCGAGAACGCGTCCATCTTCTTATCAACATCTCCTCCGATTACATCATCGATGCTCGCGATCATCAAAGGACGGCCCTACTCTCGCGATCACCTGATCCCTGTCTATCACCACCTCTCTAAGTCCAAGATCCCGCGCTATAGCACTGAGTGGGGACACTCAGAATGTAAGTCCCCAGGAGATGTAGAGACTTGTGCGTCTCAATGCCGAATATACGGCCTTTACCCATACATTCCTATATGTATGTTACAGCTCTACTCCTAAGTACCAGTCTCGCGCGCGCCTTATCTGAACTCGTGCGCACTTAGGCGCGCCTTACCTACGCACGCGCTATATGCGCGCTTCGCGCGCGCGTTCGCACACCTCCTCATAGGTCTTCACGCTATCGTCCATCCATCCGTCCCATGTCCTTACTGATTCACTGGTGCGTTATTTCTATCTTATCCATTGAACTAATAAAATCTTCGGTCCGACGTCCGCGCTACTTATAGAAAGTTTATTTAAACTTAGTTATAATTAGAGTTGATATGGTTACTCGGTTCGGGAGCGCGCTCGGAAGCGCGCCATCTCCATTCTTAAATACAGAAGGGTTTCCTTTGGTTCTGGTACTTACTTTCCCCTTATCTTTGTGTACTGGAAAGTGTATAGATCACCTCCTCACTTGTTATAAGATCTTATTCTCCTGTCAATCATCCATCTGGGCATTCACTCCTCAATAGGACCTTTCCCTTAACGCTCAAGGTGCGCCTTCGCTTCGCGCGCGCACATTCTCGAACCTCCCGCTCACGTGCGCGTTATCTTCTCGTGCCTGTTAGCGCCCGCCTAGCTCATAGAGTTTCCCTCCACTTTATTTCGAGGAACTTCTCTCAGTGGTTGTCCCTTGGGTCGAGTCGTTGTCTCGTATCCCGGTCTTGCTGTTGAGCACCCTTTTGTTTTAAGTGTTTTCACGTCTAGTCAAGATTCCTCATCTACACCGGCTTTGGTACATGCGACACACTTCTCGTGCCTTATCAAGGTGTCCGCTACCACCTGAAGGAATGGTGTCAAGCTAATCTCATGTGAGTTCCTTTTTTCTTTAGTCTGTCTGTCTATTAATTTTTTTCTAGGCCTAAAGACCTGAAAGAGTTGTTCAACTTGCGACACACTGCACTTCACAACATCATCAAGCGGATATTAGGCATCATGAAACGACAATGGCGCATCTTAATATGCGCGCCTGAATACTCCATGGACATCCAGTCCTGGATCCCAGTGGCACTTTGCGCCATTCACAACTTCATGTGAAGAAACAATGGTGATATGTTTGATCTTGCCCTCGAGTATGGGCACGATCTTGCAGAGGATGATGGTGTTGGTGCACATTCAGAGGGACCGGCGGATGCTGCTGAGCGCAGACATGCAGATGCTCGTAGGGACGGAATCACGCAAGCAATGTGGACTGACTATCTCGCAGAACATGCACGAAGGGGACTCCCATTGCCATAGTTGTAGGTAATACATGAATTTTGTACTACAGAATGATCTGTACGCCGCTATAATACAATCATATATTCTTGCGAGTCAATTGATCACCGTGGTGCACCACCGCAAAGGACTCACTTCTCTTCCAACCACTCGAGCCTCGTCACCTCATCCAACGAGTAGAAAATGATCGCCTGGTTCTTGTGTTCAGCTAGAAAGTTGGCAATGCCCAAGCACTCTTTGCTCATGAGGTCTGTATATTTATTGAGGAGGGAAATGGTGCTTCCAACATGCATGGAAGGCTGAGGCTGTGGCTGCACTGGCGGCAGCGCCAGCACTAATACAAGAGTCTTCTGCATCTCATGTACTACTTCTACGAGGCTTTTCATCATTTCGGTGCCCTCCTGCTGTGCCAATAGCATGGCAGATGGTGGCCAGCCTCGTTTCTGAGAGCCTGCAGCTGACGCAGGTGAAAGCACGCTGCATTTTCACTTTCCCCGGCTTATACTTGTCCATGCTGAGCCACCAACAGAGGTAGACCCTTCCATGGAAGGAGCGAGAAAGGTAGATGGAGGTCCACTGAGGATGGTGGCGGCCCTGGAAGTGCATTATCTGTGGCTGGGGGGATGGAGGATAGTGTGTTGGCATTGATGGCGGTGGTAGGTTGGAAGACGTGGGAGCCTTTCGACTTGCTTGGCATCAACTGCTGCATGATATCAAAGTGGTCGAAGCCCTTCATCATGAAGGGCCTTGTGTGAGGATGCGACTGAAAACAATGTCAGTAGAGGGGTATGCATGCAGTCTATTTGCAATGACGTACCTTTATAAAGTGTGCCCATACATCGTCCTTTTTGTCCGTGATGCCTGCTCCATGATCATCACTCCAAGTAAAACCAGAAGTACACTTAATTTCAACAACACTTTGGTATGCTTTCTTTAACTATAAAGATATATGTCATTGATTTGCTGGTGGCTGAAAGTTCACTGGAAACATACCGATGTCCACTTATTTTTGCAAACTGTGCCAACCTTTTCTGCGCCCCTTTGATGCGGGTGTTTTATCTTGAGGTGTGCATATGCTTGATTGAAGGTGGGCGCCTTGAAGCCCCCATCACCTGATGCAGGAAGGGCCTGCAGAAGGAACTCAAGAAAGGTAGTTTCTTCTGCCTTCATCCACACCACAGGAGCCTTCCTGGTTGTTCCACAAGATGCAGCAGCCAATGTCACGTCTATAGTACCCCGGGAACGTAAGGAATGCGAAGAGCCGCTGCTTGATTTATCAGACATTGTGGTGATACTAGAGTATCTTTTGTTTTATTAGATAATAGATGCTTATTAATGCAGTCAGGTCATCACGTGCGGTTTGAATCAGAAATTTTGAACCCGGAGTCATTGTCCAAACTGAACCTAAGAGCATCTGAGACGCTTAGTCGGACATGCAGTGGTGCTGAGTCACTGAAGCTCCTTGCTCATTCTTACATAAACCTTTGGAACATTCGAATTTCGGACAAACAAATAATCACCATACTTATGTCAACCCATCGCATCTTCCACCAGCTTTAATAATCCGTGGCAAACCGTTTCATCACATACTCTTCCACCTATTCCGTCACCATTGACATTAATATGTAATTTCCATTTGCCACCTGGAAGGCAAACTAACTCACCGACACGGGCTCATACTTCTTGGGATAATCTGCTGTCCACGTACCAGGGACCGAATCAACGACTGTGGAAAAGTCCTGTGCATACCAACCATTAATCGGCAAATCTGGCATAAAAGGGGGAAAGATAGCGCATGGCAGCACAGAACTGATATATATGTCGACTTATCAGCTACAGGACATAGGAATAGTGGGAATAAACTCACGTAGGGGATAGAATATCAATCTGGAAGCATGCCATCCTTCATTACCACATCCGGCGGTGCACAGACGGGATGCAACGTGCTCCGTATCGTGTCATTCGACCCTACAGCAATGAAATCAGCATGGTCCCAGCAAGACCAAAGGAACCCTGACATCGCCGCAAGAAATCTGCAGTGTTTGTCTAGATCAAGGGGGAACTTACATAGGGCATAGAATACCAGGACGGAAGCAGGCCATCCTTTGCTGCCACACCCGGCGGTGCTACAATGCGGTGCATTGTACTCCGTATCGTGTCATTCGACCCTACAATTCACAAGTCAACACAATGGTACCAGTCCAACAGTTGCAGAGCAGAAGGGCCCTACATCACCGCAAAGTCACCCGCATTGAGAACGATCAAGTTGGGGATGGGAGGCACTGGCTACAAATACATATTAGTTATGATATTGGTGTGGAAGTGGGCTCGAACGGGGGTACGGACCACATACTTCCCAGGCTCATTCGGGTCCTCGACTTCAAGTCCTCCTATCTTGCCTTGAAAGAGGAACTGCCTTGGGTTAGCCTCGCTTCTTTGAACAGATGACACGGAGGGGGAAATTGACTGTAAGTGTGTTGAAATCCGTATGAGCCGATATCCTTGTCAGCTTGTTTGTCTCGAGCAATTCAGAGAATATGCTGCATTATACAGCATTATTCAATCTCATACCGGTCGTGAGTGAGTGATAACCCTACCTAGGATAATGATGTAACCTCAGCTGACTATTTGCCGTCTCGTGATACTTCAAGAACCACTCTTCCTCCAAGCCAAAACCCAGTGCAAGGGCGCGGAGGATATTCTGTTCGACCATCAGTGAATTCATGAGTCCTTGATTTTGTAGCCGTGGGAAGTATAAGATGATATCATTTTGCTATGGCTGAATATACCTATGTATACAGCAATAAATATTAGTTATCGGTACATAGCCATGAATCTCTGAAAATTCATTTTACCATGAGGAGTTTGCAACAAGATTACAACATTGCGCTGTTGCAGCAATCAATATGCAATAGCATGGTTAAGTTATATTTGTTGACTCATGCCATGTTCCCTCATTTATGTTTTAAACTACCAAGTGATATAAGACTTTATCGTGGAAAGAACCGTTAGCACTTGTAACCTAATTTATATTCTTATGAGAGCTTCAGCCAGCGAGGTATGATAGTGTAATTAGGTACCGTTTGTTGAGCAACATCATATTACCTCATTTATTTTTGACTTACAAAAATATATAGATCAGTTCAAATATTGCGTGAATTACAATGTCATCCAAAATCATGCACGTGACTATCACCTCAGCCTCAAATTTTACCTTAGAATTTTCGGACAACCTCAAATCATGTGACCAGCGCAAGTGGTTGAAATTGATTTGTCATTGTTTGCGCAGGACGGAAATTTACACGCAAGTTCCTTTCAATCCTTCTTTCACCGCTACTACCACCACCTCTCGACTCAGCATCTTCATTCCTCCCATTTGTGGTGGTCCCTCCCTGGCCTTTTCCTTGTGGTACCTCCTTGGCCGTTCGTGGTGGTTCCTGCCTGGCTGTTCGTGATGGTTCCTGCCTGGCCTTTCCTCATGGTTCCTTCCTGGCTGTTCGTGGTGGCCCTTCCTTTCCTTGTGGCCCTTTCTTTCCTTGTGGTTCCTTCCTGGCCATTCGTGGTGGTCTGTCCTTCCCTCATGGTTCCTTCCTCTGGCCGTTCATGTGTAAGGCTTGATTAGTTCGGTGGGGAACTGTGAACGAGATGGATAGATATTTAGACGTGTCAGCATAAAACACGAAACGAATTTGAACAAGGCTAGAGAGAGGAGATTTTTCTGAGAGGTTTTCAAATGTTCTTGGAGTGGGGAATTCACTGTCTGATTCGCTGTAAGTATGAATCTACGTATGCTGATTATATACGATTTCGAGTTCTTGACTAGACCGGAACGAGAGTAAGTAGCATATGGTGCTTTGAGAGATATCGGTGAAGAAACAGGAATCATGAAATCAGAGCACAAAGTATGATGACAAAAGAGTAAGAGAAACGAAAAGGAATGTATCCTTGTAGTTCGGATGCGAAGAGTTGCACTCTTCGCATCAATGAATCACATGGACTAGCTCGAACGTATGATCCATTCGAGCGTCTCAGTTTTAAGCATGGTCGGCGCGTAGGGAATAGATAATCCTTACACCACCTCCCCACTTTGAATATCGACCGACCTCGGTTGATCTTCTTGACTAAACAAAATGTATCATAGTACTTGAAGAAATGTAACCAATTAGAAGAAAAATGAGACTAGAAAAATGAATAAGTGAAAAAAAAGGAAAGGCGCATCTAATTGTTTTCTGGCTCGTCATCTACGAGCGTTTGAGGATCGATATACTGCGTGACTTCGATGGACGAGGGTGAATGGGGGTGATAAGGTATGAGTCGAAAGGTGGCAAATTTGAGTTTCGACAGAGTTCCATCAACTTCTGCGAGGCGATACAGACCGTTAGGAGAACGCGAGACCACTACCATTGGACCGAAATATCTTGGCTTGCACTTTGCATTAGAGGACGGTTCGATTTTCTTGTTTAGGACTAGGACAAGCATGCCTGGTTTGAAGTCATAGTCGTGAATGGTCCGAGAAAATCGCCACTCGAAGTCTTTGATAGATGCGAAACGACTCTTGAGCACGCGGGTGTGAATATCTGCCAAATCTTCTTCTCGTTTAGCTAATTGACAAGCACGTATAGCGATGAGGTGGCTCATGGAGATTTGGGCAGGAATATCAGGAAGGAGGTATGTGGCTTCGGTGATGTCGAAAGGTAGAATAGGTTCTATGCCGTGTGTCATAAAGAAGGGAGTGTGGCCAGTAGACTTTCGTGTCGTGACACGATCGGCCCAGAAGACATGGTGCGCAAGAGTTGGCCATTGAGTGATGTCGCCGTTGCAGGATTTAACGAGTGAGTCTCGAATGGTTCTGTGAGATCGTTCAACGAGGCCGTTTGCCTTTGAGTTATAGGCGGATATTCGAATGTGCCGGATGTGATATTTGTGCGCAAGCCAATCGAGCGCAGCGACAAAAGGAGACCCGTTATCCATCACAATTTCTTCTACGGCTCCCCACCGGCAGAGAACATCTTCAAACAAAAACGCACCCAATGTCCTTCCAGTTTCTTTCCTCAACATTCTAAACTCTGGCCACGCTGTCAACAAGCATCGTGCTTGTACAATGTAAGCGAATCCGTGAGATGCGGGCATGTACATAGAATCGGTAAAGGTTTTCCAGAAGAGAGTCGCGGGAATTGAGATGGTAGGAGGAAGGACTACTTTCTCGACGGATCGAGTTTGACATTGATGACATGTTTTAATGAACCAGGCGATATCTTTGTCCAACGATGGCCACCAGAACCTATCGGCAATTGTACGACGAGTGGCGTAAGTTCCTTTGTGTCCGAGTTCGTCGTGGGTTTGCTGGAGTGTACGCATACGATCTGCTCCGAACACGACTAGCTGATGTTGTCCTGTAGCTTCTCTTCGCCAGAGTCGGTTTCTTTGGACGAAAAACTGTCGGGTGCGTTTTCGTAGACGAGTGTGATGGGATGAGGAAGTGGTGGAAGGAAATGAAAATGTTTCTAAGTACGTCCGAATGGCTTCTAATTCTTCATCAATTCGTTTTGATGCGTCATCCAAAGGAATCTCTATATCGGTCCCATCTTGCGCCCTTGCGTTCGTAACGATACGCCGATCTTCCGTAGCTTCTTCACGCTGTCCCTTCTCCACTTCTTTAGCCAACCAGAGTCCGCATCCTACTATTTCTTCTACTGATTCATCAATATCCTCCAAGTCTTCTTCGTCTGAATCTTCCTCTGCTCGAGGCCATCGCGACAGTCCGTCCGGTCCAAGGTGCTTCGTGCCAGGTATATGTTTGAGCGTGAAGTCGAAGGTGCATATTCCCGCTATCCATCGGTTCATGGCTGTGTTTGGCTGGATGTCCGGTTTGTTGAGCATGCCACGAATATACTTGGCATCTACTTCGACAGTGAATACTTTCAGACCTATTAACCAGACCTTTGCAGCGCGCAGGGCCCTGAATAGCCCATAGAGCTCTATCTTGGCTTGTGAGTAGCACGATTCGCACTCATTCCAGGTAATGGATCCAAATCTTGATGGACGTCGATGACCTTCAGTGTCGATTTGCGAGAGTATCCATCCACACGCTATGTGAGACGAGTCGACGGCTAATATAACTTCAAGCAGAGAGGAATAATCGATGGGACGGATAGCCGGGGAGTGAATGACCGCATCCTTAAGTGAGTTCATAGCCTGTTGAGCCGCTGCATCCCATGCAAATGGTGTGTTGACTCGAGTGAGATTCGTAAGAGGTCGCGCTATGCGCGCATAATCCTTTATCCAGATGCGAATGGTACCTGTAGTACCCAAAAATGCGCGAACCTCTGTTTTCGACTTGCACGGAGGCCAGTGTTGAATTTTCGACACTTTAGACGAATCCGGACTGCGGCCTTCATATGTGCACATTTGCCCGACGATGAGAACTTCGGGTACGCAAAAGAAATAACTTCTTTGCGGAGACTGTTGCTCCAGCATGTTTGAGCCTGTGAAGGACGTGATTAGCGTCAAGGCAGTGCTCCCATACAAATCTACGAATCCCCATGTTTTCAGGAATGAGCTCAAACGAGCCGTTAGATGTTTCGTAATGCGTCTGAGGACCTAAGACGTTTACGTCATCCTGAAAATTCGGAGCGACCTCAATTTCGGCTTGGAGTATAAAGGCTATGTCATTCTGAAATACTGCGGGGGAGTCGGTCCATCCCTGAGGAAGGACTGTCAAACGATAAGTGCCGAGAGGAGTTTGGAAAGTGGTAATGTCGCGTGATTCTTCTGCAAGCGCTCGATGATCGAACCCTATGAATAAGTCCATCATAGAATATATGGCGCGTCCTGCGCATTGTTCCGCGAACAACTCTACATATGGCATTGATGCGGCGTCCTTGACTGTTACAGAATTTAGCTGTTGAAGGTCATGCACGATTCGGACAGCACCACTCTTCTTTGCGACGCAAAACCAGCGGGACTGGTAGGAGGAGTTGGAGGGTTCGTAGACACCGGACGCAATCTTAGATTTGATGAGCTTGATGACTTCTTCTTTGATACCAGGAGGAATGGGTGGCTGCCGGTGTACCCAAGGTACGTGCTCGATGGTAGGGATGATTACTGGGGGAAAATGGTCGTCTTGAAAGCGTCCTTTTTCCGACTCGTCCCAAGCCAGGGCAAGTTCGTTGTTCTTTAGCACGAGTGCAGCTAACTTTTGCTCTTCCGGCCATAGAAATTGGTTTTTGAACACGCCAAGCTCATCCATCCGTTCTTTGGATAAACGGGAGCTGGGATGGAAGTTGGGCGGATTTGGCGACAGCGGAGGAAGGGAGAGAAGTGGATCCTCTGGGAAACATTGTACGATTCGAGCATGGGATGGCATGGTGGTGGCTACTGGTCTGACTTTATTAGCGACTTTCTTATAGGCAAAGGTGCGGCGGGCAGAGTTGATTTCGAGGTGAGTCTGGAGGAGAAATTCGGCAAAGGAGGAGAAAGTGAGACATGATATGGGAATGGGCGTTCTAGAGAATGGGGGGCTAGATTGTAGATTAGCATGATAAATATCCGTCGAGCTTGTCGGCAGGGTGGCATGGTAGATGTCTGTCGAGTTTGTCGGTGGGGTTTGCGGAGTAGATAGAGGAGTAAGGAGTGCAGTGGTGAGGGCAAGAGAAGGATGCGGCCAAGGGCAAGGGGAGGTTGTTATGGTACAAACATTCGAGCTATCTAGAG